TTCGCAACTTAAACATGGCCGACACCACCCATTGTGTAAAGCACATCTGAACTTCTATGTGCTCCTCCTCCTCTCATGTGCTCCTCCTCCTCTTCTCATGGGCTCCCCTCTCCTCTTCTCATGGGCTCCCCTCTCCTCTTCTCATGGGCTCCCCTCTCCTCTTCTCATGGGCTCCCCTCTCCTCATGTGCAGATTGGGGATCTCCAACCCTTAGATGGGGTGTTTATGTTCTGAGTCTTGTTGCTCTAATAGTTTTAGACTTCACATTGGTGTCCTGATGGGAATTGTCCCCCGAAATAAATATTCCTTTATGTAGTGGCCGTCAGGTTGAATGTTCATGGATCTGGGTGTGTCCACCATTCCTGCGGCCTCCATGACCATGGTAGAGGGTAGGGATCGTTGGGTGGGAACGGACGGATCTGGACACCCGGGGGCTTTAGGAACCTGGATTTGTCCCTCACCACCGGAGTTTTGGGATGAGCTTGTTGGGGGTCTGGTGGCTTTCAGCTTGTTCTAAGTCAGCTTTATGTTCCTTCATAGCTCCCAAATACATCAAGATGTTTGTGCTGGACGAGGCCGATGAAATGCTGAGCCGAGGTTTCAAGGACCAGATCTACGATCTTTCCAGAAGCTGAGCAGCAACGCTCAGGTAAGAGGTCATTGTGGTGCAGAGTTGTATTGATCCCGGGCCTGGGGGGGTCTCCTGAGGTTTTTCAGGCCCGGAGGTTGCATTGGTCCTTCCCAGATCACAACTATTGATCGTTCCTCATAACATTAGTAAGGAGATCGGGGCAGCGGAGGGCTTAGGAGACGCTGGTCACTCATGTTACTGGTAGATACGGACACTGGGCATACTCCAATGTGCCGATTGTCCATGTTCGTGGCTTGGTGCAGGAGATGCAATGGTGGCTTCATTCAGTTGGCCATCTATGTAGAGCAGTGCTTGTCCAGTTATAAGGTAAAGGGGATCTCAGATGTGGCACCTGATGTCTGCAAAGGGCCACCTATATGTAATGCTGCGGTAAATGGTCCTAGATTGAAGACTTGCTAGAGGAAATGGTCAGACTGCTCTACAGGAGTGGTTGGAGGCCGGGGGTCATGCTGCAGGAGACAGACGAGGGACTCGTTTCATGAAACTGAATTTAATAAAGGCCCCAATATACATCCAATGCCCCCTTCTCTGCTGGGCCCTGAGGGCTGCACGTCTGACACCAAAGGGGTGCTATGGGTAGCAGAGATCTGGAGCGTGTTGGGTGGAGTCAGTGCTGAGGGCCCATTTTAGCACCTCATGTGGATCCAACCTACACTGGCATTGGTCTCCCATCCACCTCCATGTCTCTATAGGACACAGTTGTGACTTGTAGGTTGGTGAAGGGAGCCACTGAGCAGTTCTGGAGGTCCAATGCAGCATAATGTCATATAGGGTCTTTGCAGGGTCCAGTTCCCAGCGACGGGACCCTTAGGAGCCCTCAAAACATTGGCTGTTTGAGCTATGTCTTTCTGGAGTGCTGAGGACTTCCTACTTGTTGCTGGTAACGCATGGCGCCATTCCTTGCAGTGGCTGGTGACGCATGGCGCCATTCCTTGCCGTCGCTGGAAACGCATGGCGCCATTCCTTGCCGTCGCTGGTGACGCATGGCACCATTCCCTGCAGTGGCTGGTGACGCATGGCGCCATTCCCT